GCCCATGTGGCAAAGGTTGAGGCGTCATGCACACATAAATGTCCTACAGTCGGTGGCGCTGTGTGTTGGGTTGTTCCGTTCCCAATAAAAAGGTTGACCGGACCAATTGCTGACACACACGTCATACTCGTGAACGGGTGCCTTCTGCTGGGTCAGGTCGGCTCTCCCATCTTGTTGGTGGGCTGGTTTCATAAAGCCTTTGAAATAGAAATAAATAAATAGTGCCTAATTATTATGTAACCTATACTTTTGGTAATAATTTTAGATGTAGTTAATTGTAGTGTGTAACTAGGTTCCCTCTTTACTTTATAAAAATTGACTAGATGTATTATAATTAAAAAACTGTATGACAAGGGCACGGACCTAGAGTCCGTGGAGAAATAATTTATAATATTAAAAAAAAAAAAAAAAAAGGAGTAATTTAATTTACCAATAATTAATGTGCAAACTTTCAGTGGATAATTTAATTCATATAAATGAATACTAGCATTCAATAAGGTCTGATTTCTAGGGGTTATAATTAGGTATTGCTTAAGTACTTTATGTAGTTAGGTGGAATTAGTCACAATTGATTAAGTATACTTTTACCAATTTTCCTGTGGTCAAATTTTACATTCGGTATAACGATTACTTACTTACAAATATTATTTTAATACTACCTTATTATTATTTATTATCCTATTTAGAATTCGAAATTTCATACCCTAAAATTAAAATTACATGTCTTTATTTAATTATTCAACCGATAAATTGTTTGACCATTGAATTGATAATAATAAATAATAAAATAAATATGATGGCTTTAATGTACGTTTTAACCTATAAAGAAAATTAACAATAGGGTATTGCCAGGATAAGAAAATAAAAAATCTAATTAGTCCGTCAGATAATGAAAAAACAGTAAACATATTATTATTTTTTTATTTTATCGTACGAAGTAACAAATATCGATTAGGAGTGGGAGGTCGTTACGTCACAAACTGTAGCACGCTGTGACGTCACACGACATTTCTAATTTATATATCGTCGAAAGTATTTACTTTTGTAAGAAAAGAAAAAATACATGTCTAATGTTTTAAATTAATCTATCACACGGACATTAAATTAGGTCATACCAGTACTAACTAAATGAACCTAGAGTATAAAGGTAAAAGGACACATTAATATGGGTAAAACTTGGACATTTGTGACGTCATTAAATTGCAGAATACTTAGTAATAGCAGGAACTATGAAACTATACCAGTGTTGTTAGGTACTATTTTGCAAATATGTGTTGTTTAAACATACGCAATACGTAAATAAATAATTCATTCCAGGAAAATATGCACACGGTATGCGTACGCATGTGTACATAGTACATACGTAATTAAGAGGAATCATTGATGTATTAGGTCACCACAGAGCCCCACTTATATAACACGTCATACTTTCCCATAACACTACGTCATCGTCATACTTTTTAATTTTAATCCACAAAGAACTACGTAAGTGCATATTTTTTCACTACTATTTTACACAGTCCCAGGTAATTCCCCCTGTAGGGGGAATAAATAGCCATATATCGGGTGTAATTTCGGTAACCGTGCCTATTATGGAAATTGTAAAATTATACTGCTTATAATATCGAGCATTTTTTTGTCACAGAGGAAAGTCATTTAATGACTTCTCACCCTGAGTACGACGAGAGAGAGTACCAGACCCTTACTGACTAAGAACTACCCTGTTCCAACTCCTGCTTCGACTCGAAGGTAGGGTAACCCTTGCGGTTGTCCGCAGCCCCGATCGAAACCTAGGAATCCAATCCGACAACCTAGGTATTTGCAGACTTTTCTACCAAGCTCTTTAGGACGTTTGTGGCAGCAATTTATGACTGTTGATTCTACTGAATTTTGACGTTTTTCTATCTTTAGGCTTTACTCAATTGCGGCGAAATTGGGTCAGCTCTGAGTCAATATTTCAATATCCTTTATAAACGGTTTTACATATTATAATACCTACAACAAAACTTGAGGATAATTTATACTTAGGTGAAGAATTATAATATAAAGAAATAATAGTAATAACATAGATTCATGACTAATCTAGATTATACTCAGATTAGACAATATTATAAGTTTTTATGACTCAAACGCTTACACAAACAATATCCCCATTCATGCTTATGAGAAACGTTTTACGTTGATTACTTAGAAACAATCACAGTACGGTAACTGTCGTATTATCTTCATGAGGTAGGAATAGTAAGTAGCACGAAAAATATTTTTTAATATTACTTTTTACACATCAGCATCCCACGAGACCCCACGTCCAAGGCCTCACAGAACACCGACGTGAAACAACGGTCACGTTGTGTGAATGAGGTTACCGGACGCCCAATTACACACCCTCCCCTTCCCCAATCCCTGAATCGTCAACAATCCTAATTCCTTATCCCAAAAGGCCGGTAACGCACTCGTAACGCATCTGATGTTCCAAGTGTCCATGGGCGACGCCGATTGCTTACCATCAGGTGATCCGTCTGCTCGTTTACCGGCTTATCCCATAAAAAAGAAGGGATTACCATCATCTCCACGCTAGACCGGCGGGCTGCAGATCGCAATTTAAAAGGTTCAGGTTTCTGTTAAATGTGCAGTCCTTTAGTCGACTTTTATTCTATTTACAGAGTAATGTAATACATTTTTGGGATTAAGTAGGTACCTATCTGTCGTGTCGTGACACATTGGGACATGCCCCAGTTCATTGTGATTCACTGCCAAATCATAATCTTACCGACAAAAAATTAAGCTTATAAATAAGTACTTAAGTAACTTACTTACGCTTTTTGTAAGGTATTTTCAGCTAAGTATTTAAATAGGAAATCCCGACAACTGACTGACTAGTGACTACCTATCGATCCGCCTGATTTTACATCACGATATCGAAATCATGAAATTATAAAGTGTTGGAGTTACAAAAGCATGATGTGGCTGGACGCATAATCACGATATGGGTAATTCAACGACACATTTAACAATGTATAAAAAATTAAAAACAAAACTCTATCATCATCATATTAGTTGGTACCTCTCTGATGATCAAAATGAGAAAGTTAACCATACACGTTATGGTTGGTAGATGACTTGGGAACTATATTATTTAGCTAGGTCACCTACCTATACCTCGGTGACTAAATACTTTTTAGAATGTAAGTACTTGAGGTCAATGACCTTTTCATGAAATAGGGCAGCATTTGAGCAGTCTGATCACCTGGTGGTAAGCGACCAGAACGACCCATGAACACGCGTAACTTAACAAACCCTCTTTTCAGAATACTGGTAAAATCAAAGGCAAGGTCGTCAGCCTTATTGAAGAAAGGCCAAAGTAAAATTAATGAATAAGTCAGCTGATTAAATAAAGAAACAGATGTATTACAATATCTGTGTAATATAGATGTATGATAAATTAATCTTCCAGATAAGTATCCTTACTATAATAACAAGTATTACGATGACTCGCAAGTAAATTACTTTACACTCAGCGTGCACGCTGCGCACACGCATAGCGTGATAATTATGAGATTGATAAGGTAATTAGGTTTTTTTTCTTATTAAACTGATTAGGTTGTGTGTAATAACTAAGTGAAAGTTATCTGTAGTTAGTTTAAAGAAGTATTTAATGGAAATTGGGAGTTAATAGGAATTAAATATTGCATAGTTATACTCTTTTTTAATCCAGTTATACTAATGCCCGAAATAGCAATCGAGAGAACAAGAAAATACATACAATTCAAAAGACATTTTAAAGAGACAGAACATAATATAAAATATTTTCTATGTTTTTATAATAACTATCGTGAGACATACTAAATTAATTAAAAATCGCGGGTTACTCGCGTGAATATATCAGTATATTTACTACTCTACTAGTTTAGTGTGCAGCGAGCGCGGACGCGGCGATGTCGCGCAGCCTACTCATGAGGAAGAACCCCTCTGTGGTTCGAAACTAGTAGAGATTTTCTCAGTATATTCACGTGAGTAGCCCTCGATTTTTAGTTAATAAAATATTTACTTTTTTTAAGGTAGCTCTCGTAAGAACGATCATATAATATCGCAAACAGAGCAGGTATTTACCAATAAAAATATCAATTCTACAGGAATGGTGTCTCCCCAGTGGACACAAACTCAATTCTATAAATAGAGCCAAGAGATACAGAGGTTTGTCATAACCGAATTATGTTATTGATAAACTTATTGTTATCGATTAGCTGTTGGCAGTCGGAACCAGTATTCGAATATATTATTATCTGACGATAATAAGATATCGTTTAAGTCCATTGCTTTAGAGAAAAAAACATTTTCTGGAAAGTTTGGTAGTCCAGCATTTGACAGACACAAATTAAATTCGCAATTGTTTTATGTAATTGAAATATATTTTGACTAGCGACCCGCCCCGGCTTCGCACGGGTGGAATATGTATATACATACAAACCTTCCTTAAGAATCACTCTATCTATTAAAAAAAACCGCATCAAAATCCGTTGCGTAGTTTTAAAGATCTAAGCATACATACGGACATACAGCGAAAGCGACTTTGTTTTATACTATGTATTGATATGTATCTGTGGTTATAACTAATAGTTATTCCTCAATATTGGGGACTGACTTTTATTTTTAGTGCGGTTTAGATTTATGTCAATCAGTCCTGGAAGATGGCGCTGCGGTAATTAACTTTTTTATGGAATAAGCCGGTAAACGAGTAGACGGATCACCTGATGGTAAACAATCGGCGTTGCCCTTGGACACATGAAACACCAGAGGCTTTACAAATGCGTTTCGGCCTTTTGGGGATTACGAATTTGAGGACTGTTGAGGATTCGGAGACGCAAGTGTTGTTTCACGTCGGTTTTCTTCGAGTTCGTCGTATCACTACGTAAATTATACGTCGATTTTGGCTAGTAAATTAGTGGTGTTTTCAAAGCGTTAAAAAGTCATGTTAGATAGAAATTACTAAAAATACTAACCTTCTTCGAATAATCCTAAAAACTTGCGTACAAAATCTTCACTGGTGATGAACCTTTCACCGTTCCTGTCAACGGTGGCGAACTTCAAGAATATCTCATGTAGACGATCTGTGTCCGCCCGCTTTAAATAACCAGCCCCCTGTGGACAATTTCATATAATTAATTAAGATATTAGACACTGTGATATGTAGTAAAACATCTGTACGTGATTGAGAAACATATAACACAACTAGCTTTTACCCGCGGCTTCGCTCGCGTCACAAAAGAATAAAAAGTGCTTATGTGACATATACCAATACACACAGCGCCATCTATACCAATACTTTTGTTTTTCCTCGGGAATATCAATTTTTCCGGGTTAAAAGTACGTCTGCAAAAATTCAAAGCAATCGGTTGAGTAGTTCCGGCGTGAAGGTGGAACAAACAAACAAACAAACTCACTTTCAGATTTATAATATTAGTAAGGATCTTTCGATAAATCATCGTAAGTTGCAGATTCGTGCCTCAAAAATGCAACACAATACATACGTGGATAGAGTCCTCAAGACTAGCTATTATAATAAACTACGTATTTTCATTCTCAGACTGAGTGCATACGTACTAGATTTATTAATTTCAAAAAGGAAAAGGCAACACAATAATTGTAACGTTAGAGGGACTTTGTTAGTAAATACTAGTTATTATCTTATACGCCTTTCTGTGTGGCCTTAAATCCTAAGTACTTGGACTGTACCTCATATAGTAAATTCCCGAGTCCTCTATATAACTAATATAACGTTGTATTGTATAAACAAGTGGAAATGACTGGCTAGTTAATCGAGTAGAAACCCAACTATGAAGCAAAGGAAGTTGAGTAACCTAGGAAGTTTCTTGCTCGTTCTTCTCCATAGGAATGTACAACTTGGAATGAGCAAATAGCTTCACTAGAGGACTGACCGACACTTACTTTTATTTTTTTGTTTGTTTGACGTTCAAAAGTACCTAGTGGGCCTAATTAAAATAAATGATTACGACTTTTGACTTGGAATCCTGGTTTGGGTATAAAATTATTGAGTGGGTATACATTGAGATGAATCTGGTTGCAAAAATAGTTACTCAATAAAGCACTAAGTCAAACGAGACCAATATATATTAAGCTATATATACGCTCATAACTGTTATATAAGAGTCATGGTTTAATAAGAAAAATTGGTGTAGCATTTAATAACCATGTGCCCATCCTGTCCGGTTTAAAAAGGCATGATTTTGTGTAGGTATCAACATCTAATTATGATTTTGATTATGTACCTCATTACACAAAAACGCATAAAGTGTCACGCATATTAGAAAAATTCCTCTTTGGATACAAATCCGATAAAAGAAGTTTTATGGGCAACAATGTAACGACTTGTTAATTAACAACTTTGAAATTAAATTCAATATTATCCTCATCGGTTGTTGATAATAATAAGTCGAAATTGTCTTAATTTTGGAATAGAAAGTGATTATTATAATTTTTTGAAGGTTTTCCTGACCACAGTCATAAGTTGATCTTATTACTTGTTTACCTGTGGTTACTGTCTTTGTTAACTTATATAATTAGTTAAGATCGTGAATTTCATTTTGATAATATATTTTACTTCTTACTATATATTATAAATGCGAAACTTTGTTTGGTTGTGTGTATGTTTGTTAGTTAATTACGACAAAAAGGCTGAAGGGATCGGATTGAAATTTCGAACAGGGATAGATTTTAGTCTAGACTCTAGAATAACACATAGGTCTTTTTAACTTTCGTACTTTTTATCCTACGCGAACGCGGGCGAAGCAGCGTGCAGTAACCTAGTGCAATTATAAAACAAGGAATGACAATTACTTATTGTAGCTAGTTCAATTGTTTTACATGTAATTGATGACGTCACATAAGTTGTGAGGTCACTAGTTAGATATAAACAGAAAAATATAGAAAATGATGTGTAGGCAATTGCATCATAACAGTGTTTATTGGAATCCCATAATTATGTTTGTTATTTACTTCAAATCAAATCATCTGTGGCTAGCCTACGTCTAAATATGGGTTAAATAATATCGGGTAAAAACCCTCGTCTTGTTAAGTTGTTATTTCATAAAGAAAATAATTATGAAAAAAATATTTCCTTCAAGTATTTAAGTTTTAGAAATAATGACTACGTCATTTATTACGTTATTAATCATAGTTTAATTGAGTGTTGAGAAGACAACCAAATTAAAAGAACACGTCTGCGTCATTCGTCAATCCCGTATTTTAGATTTTAAAGGACTTTTATTCGCCTAGTAGTTATTTAAGTCATGTGTCTAAAGGATGTCAGTACATTTCTCAGGATCCTTCAAATCAGGGACTAACGAATTGATTATTTAGCAAAATGATCGAGTGAAAAATAGTATTATTAGAAAAATATGTGGATTGAATGAAACACCATGTAGTGACAAGGATTGAAAAGGTAATGTTACCATGGTTTGGACATGTAGAAAGGATTGATGAAAACGCACTTACGAAAGAAGTATACTGAGTGGATATGAATGGGACCGTCCGTAGTGGGTGCCCTAGACAGCCATATTATTATATCGACCAGATTGGCGATGTATTAAAGAAGGGCCTAATTGAAAGTACCCGTAACCGACGAGCATGCATGAAAAGACTTGATGAAGCGAAAGAGGCATGTAAACGTAACAATTGGCGTCCGATTGTCTCGTCATCGTCTGCGTAGCCAGACAGGCGTGACGCAGGTCCTCACCGGACATGGAAGTTTCGGGAGGTACCTGTGTCTGATGGGGCGGGAGGAAACGCCCGGATGTCATCACTGCGAGGACCGCCCTGAGGACACGGTGGAACACACAGTGGGAGAATGCCCTGCGTGGGCTGAGCACCGCGCTGCCCTCAGGGAAGTGATCGGCGATGGCGACCTCTCGCGTCCGGGCCTAGTGCAGGCCATGATGCGAAGCGAGGGGGACTGGGATGCCGTCTCCTCCTTTTGCGAAGCAGTCATGCTAGCTAAGGAGGAGGCGGGACGCGTGAGGCAGCGAAGCGCTGCCTCCTCGCAACCCAGCCATCACGAAGGACACACCGGGCGTCGGGGATCGCGGGACGATCTCCGGCCACCGTAAGCGCGGGCCTGCGGACGGCGAGCATGGGTGGCTCCCCGTCCGACCAGAAACAGACACGAGCGTACGGCGCGTCGCGTTCCGCGCGCGCCTCAAAGAGCCATCAGACCACCACAGATGGGGCCCAATAGGGCCGATGCCGATTCGGAGTCGCGGAGAACCTAACGGGTAACCGGGGCTCCGGCTCGACGTGCAGGAGAAGGAACGGGGTGGTTTTTAGTCAGTAAGAGTCTGACACTCCCTTCCGCCTCACCCAGGCGGGAGCAGTAATTCGATGATTTTCCCCCCTTAAAAAAAAAAGCCAGACAGGCGTGAGGTTGTGTATATTGTAATTACTATGTATGTATGTATGCAAAATTATAAACGGCCATAAACGGCATATTGTGGATAATTTGACTGCACGGTTAGTGCGGTGGCTGGGCAACCGGCTGCTGTGCAACGTGTCGCGGTTTTGATCCACAAATTGTTGGTTCGGGTCTGGGTGTCTTGTGTATGTGAACTTGTATGTTTGTAAACGCACCCACGACACAGGAGAAATTCATAATGTGGGGCAACGTCTTTAAAAAAAAGAAAAATGGAGTTTCTTTTAAAAAATCGGAATCTAACCAGAGATTTTACGTTAAAATCAGTTATAATTTCCACTGCAAAAATGAAATAATAGGTAAACATTTGAAGTGCGATATGGATTTCAACTTCCTATTACATCTATCCGTTCATCCGATTTTAGTTTGGATTTTCCTTAATTTTCTTTAATGGTTAACGTAGAATAAACCGGATATCTATTTCTATAGTTCCTCAATCTTCTTTAACTACGTCATAGTGTCGTGATAGCTCGCAAGAACCGGTCCTATATGCGTGTGGGTACAAAAATGACGAGGGAACTATTCCCACGACGGATATGACCCGTTATATTGTGATGCGGATACCTGACATTACTTTGGTGGAGTACCTACTACAGGTTCATATCAGAAAACTAAGAAGGCAGTTTTTATTGGAATTGGCAAATCAGAAATTCTTCATCATTTGAATTTAGTTAATTTAATTAACTACATTTATAAGGTGATAATTGTAATTGCGCATGTCTTATCCGCACTTAGGTATATCTGCTATTTTTACTATTTGGTATTTTAATAATAGGAAAGACTACTTTTGTTTATATTATTTTAATTATCCCTTATGCATTCCTAATCATAAATGGCAATATCAGTCAGTTGTAATTTATCATGCGGTTCTCCAGATGGAATGGACTCAAGTAACTTCAATCATAAGGCGAAAGATAACGCAAGCGTTGATTCAAGGCGGTTTTCTTAGGGCCTTGGTATCACTCTGGTCGAACAGGCTCATTTGTGCCGAAGAAACTTCAAGACTTCTTGTCAAAAATGATTGAATTTCGTCATTTCGATTATATTGCGCAATGGAATGACCTCAGTACACTGGGGAACCCTACTTCCAAAAGCAGTTCTGAGAACTTCAATTGATATGATTTGTGTTCTTTCTTAGTCATGACTTCTTTTGAATTTGTACTTAACTGATTTCAATACGAGATAAATGCAAATAATGCAATAGGTATTCAGTGGTGACTCATTCACTGTTTAAAGACTTTAAAGTTTCATTACTTTAGTTTCAAATGTAAAGGTGTGTTTACATTCATCGAGTAAAAATGGTAATGATCCGGATTAACTTGGATTAAATAGTAAGTACTTAGAACTACGTAAGGAACATATCGAGAAGTTTGACATGGAAACGGAATTATCAGTAGATACCAAAAATCTTGGATGAGGGATGACACTTAATATTGAAACAGAGATAATAATTGAAGTGCTATCAACGAGTTATATAGATATGATAAGCGAAAAAAATTTTCGACAATGAGAAAATAAAACTGCAAGGAGACAATGTAGAGCAAAACGAGCAAGCACATATACATATAAACACAGCTGGACACGAAGCGTAATGTGCGCTATTATTATAACGAGCCTACCCTCGTATCGATACGCTTAAAATACGGCGTCGTGAGCGAAGAGGTCTGAGAATTAAAAAACGGAGATTTGCATTACAAAATACTTGTAATACGTATAACTGTTGTCATAATTAAAATGACGTGCATTAATACGCAATTGACGTATTACGTTCGTTCGGTTCCAATATTACTAACATGTACTGAATTCATTTTCCCCAAGAGCAGGAAAAAGCTCCTTAATAGTGCGCGTATACGGCTCATCATATATAAACCTGAGTGTCGAACGTAGCACCATCAGTTATTTAGAACTGCCATCAAAGGCAGTCATAACATCATTTAAATTATTTAAATTGATCAATTTCATTCCATAGTGCTATTACAGCCTGTGTTGTAAATTCTAAAAAAGTCTAAGTTGCAAATATTTGTTTTTAACAATGGCGACTCTCCAGTCTTTGTTTGCGGTAATTATTTTAATTTTATTTAGCTAATCAATTTTTATTAATCGAACCACAATTTAGTCATTATTATAGTTTTTTACCGTATCCATAAATGGCATTTTATTTTAATGTGATAATAGATATCTAATGATTTATTATTATTGTGTTTTATAGCTGATGGTATTGGTGACTATCTGCAGTGCTGCACCTAAAAGTAAGTCAAGCTCTTTATCTACTGATAGGGTACTGGGTACATCATCATTGTGCAGCAGTGGAGAGATATTAACAATATTCCTTTATTTTCAGAACCAACCCTAAAAATTCCCGAAGAATGTAAAGGGAAAGGTTTTTGTTCAATTAAACCAGAGGGATACGATGAGATGCAAGCTGAGGTCAACAAACTTTTGAATAATCAATTTATTGCTGTAAGTTGAACCTTATTACCATGAAGTAAATATAATTAAATAAGAGTAACATTTAGTTACTGCTCATGTAGTAAAGTATGGTATTAAAAGTATCTGGTTTTTTACAGCAAAACTTTGCTGATCGGATCGGAGATGATGTCGAGATGGGAACGGTAGAAATTTCTCCTGAGAGCGACTGGCATAACTGCCCTACCAGAAAGAAGGTATGTATATTTAAATTAATCTTAGTAACTAAATCCTTCATTACCTACGTTGTTCCCCGAATAGGTATGGGTTGATGGGGCCAACTTTTTAAGCCCTACGAAAGAGAAGTGACAAGTTTATTATTATCAAGTTCATTATCCATGAAAAAAAAAACCGTAAGTGATCTCTGGGCTACTTAAAATATTTTTTTTTTTGTTTTAGCGTGAGCCGATGTATGCCTACAGTCATCCCAATGACACGGAATCAGCAGACTACATTATCCAAAATGATATGATTCAGCAGCCCGTCGACATCGTCTCTTGCGCGTAAGTATTATAATTTATTATTTATTCTTCCAAAATATTTAACGAAAACATCTGAATTGTATCTTTATTTACGTTAACGACACGTTTATGACGTTTGGCGCTCTGATTGGTCAGCTCCAAGTTAACTAGCCAATCAGAGGGCTAAATGCGGCAAGGTTTCGATCGCGTTGACGTAATAATAACTCAGATAATTAACTCGTCGAGTACCGGTTTTATAGACACAATTAAAGAACAATAGGTCGCGGTCACCGGTGACCGCTTGGTGTTTGACAGTTTAAAACTTATTACAATTTACTGTCGTGATCTCACCAATTCTTTTTTCTATTTTTCCACAGGAATGATTTAATTAGCAAAGAGAACTCTGAGAAGGAAGAATGCTTCCAGCACTTTGGATTAAGTTCCTTTAATTATAAATCAAAATGCGAGACATCATACACTTTCCGCAACTATTTTGTCTACGATTATAATAAAAAACAAATTGTTATTAAGTCCTACGAAGTACCTTGTTGCTGCACTTGTAAGATTAGTAGCTCTCAGTAATTAAAACTTCACATTTAGTGATGGACCCAAAATAGTGCCTTGTGGCATTCCGAAATACAAACTAATTTTATTACATTGCCTTGTTTGTTATATTTGAAAAAAATGTTAGTAGCTTAATGTACAATAATTCATCACAAGTACTAGTTAAATCATCGAATGATTTTGTAATATTTTTAAGACTGATATTTTTCTAGAATTTTTATTTTTTTTTACAAAATGTTTTTAGTTCTCAAACTCTAATTACTTGTAAGTAAGTATGTAATTAAACTTAACCATTTCTTATATGGTTACAAAATTGATCTGGCTTGGCTTAATATGTATTATAATGATTTATAAATAAGTATGAAAAATATTTTTTGTACAGTTGCTGTGTTAGTTTTAAAGTATTTTTAAGAATTTGTATCTGGTATACAACATGATGAATATAAAGCTTTGTTAAATTATTGAAATGATATGGTTTAATTTAAATGAAGTAATAGAATCAATGTAACTATAATATTCGTTCCTTTTAACACCACACTTACCAACATCAAATATGGTAAAATCTCACAACACAATATACTCGTACATTAACCTACCTCAAATGAGACAATGAATAAGAAAATAAGATAGTCATCAAACAAAACTGTCAAAGATCTGTGTAATCTAGAGTCAAAAGCAGATGAAACTGCATGAATCCGGCTTTTTGCACATAACACTACTTAATAAAGAACCTTATTATCGCGATTATAAAACAAATATAATATTCCGTTACGTCTAGTACACACGGCCATTCAAAGACATCAACTCAAGTGAAAAAATCATTGTGTTCATACGATTTTGAACCTTATGTCTCAATAACAATATTTATAACCCGTTACAGAAATTTGTTGGTATCTGATAAGGAAGTGTAGTAATATAGTTAGTATTCAATGAACTTTCAACCTTATTAACAACGCGATAAATTTAAATTTGGCTTGTTTTAAGAAAACTGGTGATCAATTCCAACCATTGCTTCTTTATTTGTTCAATGTTTGGCATCGGTTTAGTGGTAAACAGGCAGAATGATCCTTATTTAAATGAAGGTATATGATCATATGATTTACTGAATATTAATCTACTTAGTAAGTACCTATGTAGTTACTAAAATTAAAAAAGAGGCTATAGTGATATAAGAAAAGTTAGTTAAATTACCCTGGTTGGGAGGGCTTTTCCAAAGGAGAAGGAAAAATAAAAAATATATACAACACTTTGTATGCTGTAATTGCCCAATGGGCAAGCTCATGAGGTGTACCTAGTTACTTTTATAGGTACACTTTTTTATACCGGTTAGGTATGTTTTATGGCTTAATAAATAAAGTACAAGTCTACCCAATTTATAATAGGGTAGAAGACTAATTTTTATTTCAATGTCCGTCTGGTAGATTATTTTAAAACATTAGACACGTATTTTTTAATTTTCATATAGAAACAAATACTTTCGAAGCTATATACATTTGAAATATGACGTTTTAAACATTAAATGACTTTTTAGCTACCACTCCTTAATTTTGATTCGTTTTGTCTAACTATTGTAACCTTATACGACAAAATAAAAATATGTGTCTAATATTTTTTCGTTATCTAAAAGAATAACGTCATCATCCCTATTATTTTGATATTATTAAGGTACTTACAAATAGAAAATAACTCGAACAATAGACTTTAAACTGATTTAATTTCTCCATTTCTTACAGCCACATACACAACCGGATCAAACTTATCTCGTTCATAATATCAATATAATTTTGCACAAAACAATTAATTTATTTATCGTATGGTGCACACATTATCTCATTCAAGTCAAAATAAAGACTGAATACAAGTTTTACTATGGAGTAAGTTATATATTATTATTTTATTTCACCCAATCAGGGTTTATGCGTTGTATCCGTATAAATAATAACTACCTTTTATTACGATGAGTACCTTTGGCAATGATTACAGACTACAAGGTTGTTACAAGGCCAAGGCCAAACAATGTTTATAGCACATGCAACTGATATTATGCAAAAATTATGTAATCAAACCGAGTAGTACTTCAGTTTCTAATTTTCTTTTCAAAAGAGACTTTTGAAGAGTTATGCACATTGAAAATTCAATTCTAAGTATAAATTATTAAAGTTTATTTTTAAACAGATTTCAGAGTTCAATATTCTGCTTGATTGGGTAGCCTATTTTAAGTACTAAATTATAGTATTGACACAGTCAACAACAATAAGTATGTATTTATTTACCATATTATCCTGATATCGAATTTTCCCCATACCCCATACATATAACATATATGAATCCATACATAAATATTATTTATGAATGAAATACCTACATGTATTAAGTATTTTTTGTTAAGTGCGATTTCAATAGACCAATCCGGATGACATATTTATCCTAATTAGACGCATTGCCAAAATTACCAATTAACTTAGAATTTCGATACATCATAATTTGTTTATTTTGTGCGAAGCCAAACTTAGTAAAGAAATAGCAAGAGCAAAACTCGGACACAGGTTGATCTTATAAGACTAAATAACTAACAGAAATAGGATAAAGGAAAATTCGTACAAAGTTTGAGACACCACGCCACATTTTATCAGCAGTGATTACATATCTATATACTATAGATAAGTTCTACACATTTTGTCTAAACATCTACTATGATAGATGGTTTTGCCGAAACCGCTAAGGTCAAGGAAGGTGACTTTTAATGTATGTTTGAAATACAGAATTTATGCCACACTCATACACTATAATCATTGTATATTAGGGAACATTAGTTACAAATTACCACATACTGAATTTATTTATTGTTTCAGTAGTTTTCTCCTTTGCTCAGTAAATGTTTTGGTCATCTTTATTAGATAATAATCAAAATTAAGGATTTTGGTTATTAAGTTCAGTTTTAGTAATTGTATATACCATGGGAAATAAAATAATTACTTAAATGCCCATCTACAACAAAAATTAATTTGATATGATTTTACAGATTGTATGAAAACCAGTTTTTTAATATTACTTAATGAGTGTATAAATAGAAGTCCTTTTGATTCAAGGCCTCAACATCTTGTGAGTGAGTGACAATAACAACACATACCTATCTAAGAATAAACAATTAACATAGGAGCACTAAGGTAATTCTATATTCAATACACAGATAATATAAAATTTATGTTGAATAGCGCAAAGAGGTTGTGAGTTATCCAACATTATATTTTTTCTCTTAACTGCCAGTAATTAACATAAATTACTAATAACTGTCAGAATAATAAATGATCAGAATACTTATTCCAAACCATGTTCTCCTGTATTTAAATCACATTTTCCATTAACCAACACATTTTATTCACAATCATGGCACAATTCACAAGCACATTGAAAAAGATAACTGCATTCTAATTAATCTATAATGAGTGGTTGCACAAGTATAAATTAAAAAAATATTTTACCCGACGAGTTGTCATTTTGTTGTGAAGAATCCTATTGAACTGAACAGTGGCCGTCACCATAGTTGACGTAACTGATAAGAATAATATTATCTTGTATACTTAAGTAATATAAAATATTTCACTTGGTGTTATCTTACATTAGCAAGTTTCTTCATTCAAGATTGACATGTTTTCATTTTAATGAAAGGATTTTATGGAAATACCTATCTGCAATTAAATGAATTTCAGGTAAGTTTAATAGTGTGCTCATATAAAATTAAGTTTATGTTAACATTTTTTATCATCTGTACAGTGTTATTTTTATCTGCATGAAATGTTGTAATAATCTTATTTATTTTTTAATTCCTCACAAAGGTCGAAGAGGTTAGGTTGGTTATCTAATAATGGTTGAACTTGGAGACATAGTTTGTTAATTTGAGTATGGAAAGTAATGTTTAAGATGATCTCGTTCATTGACGAAGTTATCAGGTGTTTTCGGAATGCGAAGGCCGCAAAGACGCATTGTGACGTACTGCTGCAGTTCAAGGGCGGACAAATCAAGGGCATTTGATTAAAAATATAGCGCATTGACAACATTACATTCGTCAACAATGATGCACTTCAATTAACTGACTTGTGTAATTGAACCTTTTTGAATAATAATCAAAAACTTACCCACCTCTTGACAGCTGGCCTGAGTGATTACCGAGCTCAACAAAGATTTAAACATTACAGTGTTTTATTTGTCACAACACAATTTTTCTGAGAGAATACTGTAATGTTTAACTCGGCAACAATTTGTATAAACTACGTTAGCCCTGATAACACGTCACGATACATAAAAATGTACAAAAGTCTATTTTTGTTAAACACGCACTGTGCTCATGATCGTCTCAGCCGCCCGGCTATGATAATGCTAAAATATTTAAAAGCTTTTGTTTATTCGTTAACCTAAAACAATTTCGCACTTTTCAACTTGGTCGAACAGCTTGAAGTTTTTTGCAAATTTTGACGTATTAGTGATGTGCCTACATTGAACTCGTTTTATGTTTTCTAGGGATGTGACCATTACCGTTTCGTTTCGCTGTTAATATGGCAATTTATTAATACACATTTAGATTAAACATAACTATAAGTATTGCAACTGTAAGATATTAGAAACTCTACTCTTAATTAAGCATTTTTTGAAATTTAATATAGTCACACATTCTGTGTTGAAATTAATAACAAAAAACGATTGAATGCCAAGTTAATGAATTATAAAACTCAGATATCCTATTATTGAATTCATATTTCAATCGACTGAATTGAAATATGAATTCAATTAATCTTACAAGCTAACTTAAGATTAATTAATTTTTTTATTGCATACCTATTCACATTCATTGAATTTTGCGTTTTATCAGGATCAATCAGCACGTAAGCAATAAAAATTGTGACAAAAGTCACTAGTGGGCGCCAACTCATAATAAGTCTAGTTTACAGTAACTGTATCTTACCATTGCTTGTTGTTACTGCGACCCCCAGTAAATAGATGTCGCTAGTATTTAAAAATAGCGTGTAAAATACAAAATTACACAATTTTGCTAGCAAGTTGTTTTGATTGTAGACTAAAATTATCAGTATTATCAGTAATTAGTATTCAATAGATATTTTTTTTTGTTTATTTGATGGGCTGACGTTTGACCACTACCTATATTAATCAGGGGAGGCTTAATTCATTTTCACTTATAACTTTGATAATAAAGAATAAATCATTTATTAATTTTCAACATCAATTTACATAAATACATCAAACAATGGCACATATAAACTTGAGACTGGTGTCTGTAGTAGGTAAAACCTGTAATCACAGATCACCAGGCGGCCTGGTGATCTGTGATTACAGATCACTGCGACGAAGGGTTGGCCTGGACCAGGCCAACCCTTCGTCGCAGTGCATCACTTAGGTACTAGGTACATTGGATGACATAATCAGATGTTTGAAAATAAGTATAATAATAAAATTGCTTACTTTAGGATAATTAATACTGACAAACATAAACCCTATGGTTTCTATGGTAGGTACTATCACAATTTTCACGTACCTACAATAAATTGAGATAAGTTAATTATTACAATAATATATTCAGTTACCATAAATCTACTTAGATGATAATAGACACCGTTTTTCTAAGTACTAAGATTACAATAAAAAAGTACCTACCTACCTATTCTTCATGGGTAACTTTTGACACACACGTTGCAAAAGTTTACAGACTACTTTGAAAGTCCTTCAGAAAAAAAAATAGAGACGAAACAAAGCGTCCTTTGATATTATTGTGTAAGTTCATGAGTCAATGTAGGTTGGTATTATGTGACATAAGTATTGCAAAACTTTTAGAATACTTTGTACAAAATGAAGAAACTTTTTATAAACCGTAACATTTCTTCGTCAAGTCTCGCTTGTTTAGAAATTGTAACAAATACGAAGGTAGCTATTTTATTTTCTTTTTATTTTCATGGAAAATTTTTCTTCTTTTTAGTTCTTTCACTTTGTAAACCAAGTGATGTAGGTACCTATCCTAGGTGACCTAGTTAAGTTATACTTTTTGGTTTACAACGTGTAGGATGCCTATGTTGCGTAGGTAACTATTTAGGTAGGTACTTAGATATTTATTTAGATAAAAAGTGAAACAGCCTGTAAAATATTTTTGCAACTAAGGTAGATTAAAATTTTCGAATATAGGTAGGTAATGCATAATTAAAATGTTTTTGTCACAAAGTCATTCTACACTATTGGTTTAATAATGTGATATGTGTACTTTTTTCAATCAGTCTCATTCTTGTAATTGCTAGTTTCATTAGTCAGTAGTTAACTACCTACACTAAAGGCTCAACATTTCCTGCCAGTGCACATTTGTAGGTACTTCCCACCTCTAGTTCCACGGATTACAATTTCGAATTTCGAATAATAAGTTCGTTAGCGGATTCGCTGTTGCGGTTGCGACTGCAAACAAATGCACGTCACTATTTTGCTTCGGGCCCGTAGCATGTCCTTGCAATGTATTTTAAACCTCATTTCAAATGTAGTAAGGTGCTTAATAGGTTATTGTTACAACGATAATACTGTTTTATTTGGTGCTACTTCATTGTAAATTATTCTTGACTCGGTACAGTCAACGGTTACATCCTACAAAGAAAAATATTACGATTTTGTTTTTTTGAATATTTGTAATAACTCGCGGAATATTTGCCTTAAAACTTCAGGTAGGTAAGCCTATCTACATCAACTTTCAGAAAAACTGACTGATGGTTCCTCTCGTTGATCTCAGATCTAATTTCAAGCTACAAGACCTCCAGTGCTGTACGTAGACCTCCATATTGACTTTCAAACCGCACAGAATAGGTAGGTACCATCCGGGGGCTTCCTCGGCCCTTTATCATCTGTACCTTGTTGGGGGACGTCCTGATAATGTCCTTTATGATATTAGCAGGATTAGGTATGTCAATCAATAAGTCCATTAAGCTTTCTGTCGGTACCATTGGTATCTGCATAGTTACCATATCTAGAACATACCTTGATATGATCATATTTTTGTATTGTAATACTAAAATAGATAAACTTATTGATAAACTTGATTAATATTTATACAGTAGGACGATTGCACTAAATAGGTACGAACTACTCAATAACAACCCCAGATGGTTTTGTAAACGCCGGGTAAATGGCAGCCAACGACTAGACAGATCCGAGGTCCAGTATCTAATGTCACTCATAAGATAATAACCATATAAACGTTGTTTCACGCCGGTGTTTTTCAAACGGTGAAGGAAAACATTATGACTTGACTTTATAAGTTCGCCAATTTGCATTGAGCAAGCGTGGTGATTAATGCTCAAATCTTCTTCATGCGAGAAGAGGCCTTTAGTCAGCACAACAGTGGCCAGTTATACGCTGTTGATGTACCTAATGTGTGCGTGTGATTCTTCGAGGCCGTGTCCTATAAATTCACTTATAAAGAAAAGGGTCCAGAATCTCAACTTATGACAGACGATGAATTTTAAATTCATATTTGTTAGAAGCACTGCTGCGTAGTCTATCTCATAGTCAGCACTACTGACATTCACGGGGCGGCAACAAAAATGTATTCTGCTCAGTCACCACATGTCCCTCGTGATATCATGTTTGTTCGTGGACTTCTAATCCCACATTAAAATAGTAAGTAATCGTAATTATTGACTAATATTGCTCTCTTATTTATAGGTCACTATAATATGATATTGCAGCACACACACACACACACCTACACGCGTAAATATACTATGACGCACAGACAGTTAATGTGTCTACAAGATTGCCACAAATTAGATAAGAATAACAAATAGGAAAAATATATTTACTTAACTGTCATATTAAGTAGGTAGTAGGTATGTAAAGGAGTTATTGACACGACTATTTAATATAGTTTAACAGTTTTGAGTTTACTTTTAAAAGTCATGGTTAGATTCTTTTTATTTTGTGTTTTTTAGTACTAGACTGTCTTCTTCGAATAGTTAGAGCGCCAAGCGATAGCCAAAGGTTTTAAAACCCGAAAACTAGAAGTGGATCTTCCTACTTTTATTAAATAAAAATGTAATAGTTAGTCATTCAATAAATATAGATACATTGTTCGATCTGAAGATTAAGGAAATCCGAGACCTGTGGCTGAATAGTTGAGCTCACAATCCAAGCTAAACAAAAGCATGTGGATTAAAATTACTCATTACAGGTGATTGGCTCACACTGACAAAAACAACCAGTTCAATCATAAACACAATTCTAAATGGCTGGCTATCAAACAAAATAGGTACAGCCGAAAAGGAAGTTTGCATAGATTTTATGCGCTCCAAGTTCTTTACAAAACCCCCATACGGTACACAGAAAAATACCGTGTGTAAGACATTAAATATTTCATAGATGCATGGATGCCTAAGTGCATTCAGCTGTAGGAGCTCAAACGCTACGAGTATGGGGTTGCCAGTACGCAATTTCCATAATAATATTCAATAAACGCTGTAAGGGGACTTCCCGAATAAGCTTTCCTTTATGACATAACTGTTATAGTCTATGCTCGGTATACAAACTCTTTGATCATATTGAGTTCGTGAAAAGTAGAATACCTACTTTTTAAAGTTTGTTTTTTCTAGTAGTAGCTTGGATTTTTTAAGCACGATACGATATCCATATAAAATAGGTACCTACTGTGATTTTAAAGAAATTATTATGAATAGAAATTCGAACTGTGCCATAACAATAGCTCAACAACTTCAGGTGCTAGGATTTGGAATTAATGGATATTCGAAGATAAAGATTTTGGGTTTAATTCCTATTTCGTCCATTTTGAAATTCTTAGTCTTCATCTTAGGATTCTAGATTATATTGCTTCACTAGCATTAATATGACTAAAGGTGATTTTTTATTACTATAATGGAAGATTGTGATCAAAGTCATTAGATACCGCCATACCGGTATTCTTATCGAACAAAAGTGCTAATCTCGTCAGCAAAACAGTCACAAACAGATGAGAGAAAAACGATAAACTGAATTGTACCAGATAAACTATCTCATAAAGAGTTAAATAAAAATAAAACCGTATCTTTCAACCACTAACCCAGCAAGCAGATCATTATCCCCTTTACCTAATTAACATTAGAAAACTAGTTTCCAGTTAACATTTATCTTAAGCCAATCTCGATTGCGGAAAATAAGGATATCTCCACAACTTATCTAACAGGATGGTTAGAAACGTCCGTCGGAATAGTACTACTCACACTAAAACTGGATTGCTTTTAGACGATTTTAGTTAAGTTGTGACGTCATAAAAGCTTTCATAGTGTAATAGAGATATTGCACGGACATTGACAATTTCACATGTGAATTTTGATGGTATTATAGACTTTGAATGCATTGGATTTAGGGGTTATTGTGGCATGTGATTTTATCCCACATGTAGGTCTATACGTCAGGATATTTGGAATACATACTTAGATACTTGGTAAAGTTTTTGATAATAATTATTATGTTTTCGGCTTACTCACGTAACTGTTTGACGAGGAGAGGAACTCGACTAGTTTCAAGCCATGCTAAAGGCTCATATTCATGAGAAGCATTCCGTTACTCGCGACGCGGCGACTGTAGTGTAGCATGACTTGAAACTAGTCGAGTTCCTCGTGAAACAGTTACGTAAGTTTTAATATAAAAACGTTTTTAATATTGTTGAAACCACGGTAGAATTAGATTATGTTTAAAATAACATAACATAACATTGTTATGCTACGTGAAAAGGCGTGATGTTTCACGCCTTTTTATCTCCGAAGGGTTAGGCAGAGGTGCACATTACGGCACTTAATGGCACTGTACAATGTAACACCCACTTTTCACTATTTATGTTATGAGTCCCATGTAATAGCGGGTGAGCCCATTGCTATATACCGGGGACATTTCCAGACTCCGTGCTACTACTAAGATTTTTAGGAACCCAGTAATAGGTACTAGGCCCGACCCGGGAATCGAACCCGACCATTCGGCCACCGAGGCAGTCAGTTATGTTTAAAATCTATCACACTTATGCAAATGGGTGTTTCAAACAACACTATCTACGAAGACGGAGTTGGTATCTTCTTCTTCTTGCATTTGTTCCAGGCTATTTGGGGCTACGACATGTCTTGTTTTTTTATTCTAATCACAAACTCCATTGTCTTTCTTATCATTCTTCACACAATCTGTCCATATTTCAAAGAGGTTGTAATCTATTAGTTTCGATATAACCATAACCTCTTTTCATGTGGATACGTTAACATGGTCCTTCACTTAACAATATAGTAGATGGACAATGACAATGATGGCTATGTTTTGACTTAGTTGCATTGATCGTCCCTCGATAACTTGGACGATGCAACTTTGTACTAGTTTATAAACAGCATGTTTAACCACATAGTGAATGTTATGTATTCTACATTATGTCCAATAAAAATGATGTAAACAAAACTGAACACATGTGTAAAAACCGAACAGTTGAATACCTAGCTACCTATTAGTCCATCTACTATATTTTACCCGCTGGAAATTTATACAAAATATAAATAAAATAAAAGGTAACATACATAGGTGTACAAACAAATCCGATCGTAAAATGTATAGATTTAAGCCTGGTATTCACTGATGCGTGGCATCACTTGTACATTTAGCTACAGCACTATTCCCGCTGTTTACCCATTTAGAAAGAGATAGAACACACAAAAAATAGCTTTTTACGTCTCTCTCATGCTCGTATGCTTGTAAATAAAGAGCGTTATACGGAAATTGAGCGCAATCGGTAACTATTGATGCACGCTCAAATGACGTCATTTTTTCAAACGTTAGGATAAATCTATGTTACGCTTCAGTGGGTAAGGGATTTTACATACATCGTAGATTTATTTTATTCATACATACATTCGCACTATGAATACTCGACGAGCGCAGCGTCATAATAAAATCCAATTAAAAACAAGTTTAAAACTTCTTGGTAAGTAATAATATCTTAACAAAAACTCATAAACCAATCCTGAAACAAAACTCCTTTCTGACACTAAAGTAGCAAAAGTCTAAACAAAGGTCGCGAGTGACACTGGCAGTCTAGAATCGTAAAGTAAAATAAATCGAATTTAGCCGTCTCGCAGTCCAAAGTTTCTTTCTACAAAGATATGAAGTTAGTGGAGTTTCCATTATTTTGTACTAGGACTGCAGATCTTCCCCTACCAAACGCTGTGTACAATTTAAATGGAAATTGGTTTTACATACTTAATTTTAGTTGTTGAAACTTTATCCTTCTGAGATTCATGTTTACCTGGTATTTATGGATTTGTTTTGTGATTTCTGTGCTCTTCTGTGAGTTTGTTGGGATTGAGGTTTTGTAAATGATATTTTAATTCAACTGACATGTTTTTAAACTTACGTAGTCAATTTGGCTAATTAGAAAATAGGGATTTGTTAGTCGTTTCTATCTACTTATTGCATGTAGCAATAAATTCATCTAAATATGCATTGTAAATTATAATCATTTTAATAAACATAACTATACTGAAATCACAAACACCCCACAATAGCCAACATCAGAACAAAAATCATAAGATAGATTTCAACCCATAGGCCGCTACAGGGTTTTTCTGTCATCACAGCCAGTAAACCCTTCAATGCATACAAAAAACTTCATTTTCAATATCGTCCCAGTACGTTGGCCAGCAATATGTCGGCCGGGTTCGGTTCTAAAACATATTTTACGTGAGTGCTGTTAGATCTCCAAGGGTACCAGTTTATAGCCTATCCTATTCGATTTGCGAATGTCCTAATTCGCTGATTTTTATTTCGGTGTTGTGAATATTTTAAGATATTTTTTATGTGTGCCTAGGGTTTTGATTGGTTGAAGAAAAAATTGGCTCAGGACCATCGAGTCCTAGTAAACCTAGAGTCAAATTTGGTTTTTGCAGTCAAAACTGTCAAATGTCAAACACCTATAAAATTTAAATTTACATCACAATAGAAGTGAAAACCTAATTTTAATAGCACACATAATACTAACACAGTAAAATGTAAACGTCTATCACTTACTGATACGTCGTATATATATCTAGCTACGGCTACGAACGCAAAAACTCCTAATTACCGACAACGTAAGAAACGAGGAAGCCCTACAGAATCCAAGGAAAAAATTATTACCCCCCGAAGGCATATTAATACACACGAAGCAATCTATTACAGTCATTCTAATCTTTATTACAATGTATTATATCTGAGTATCGACATCATTTTACGGCGTCTCATATCCTCGGGGTGTAATTTTCGTATAACCCTGTAGCTATTTACGAGGGACAAGCTTAGAAGCTATCTGGACGTTAAAATTTATATTATAGACGTCCACGCCTCCGATTTTTTGTCTCAACAGCACTTTTTCAAGATTTTATACTTGTTTTTGATACTTGAATGTGGATAAATGGGCGTTATGTGTCTGTGAACAGAGCCGTCTTACCCTTTAAACGTCCAGTTACGTTTCACTTTGTTTTTGCAGACATATTGTACCGTCCTTAAAAATTTCCAATCAAAAGCCTCACTAAAGATACGTATTTTTGGATCTAATTAATGAAATTTGTTATTTTATTACAGAAAACTTCCTTTGGCGAAAACATCCTAGAAGATTAAGTCGGAAGAAAATCAAAATGCAAAGCAACATAGCACCGAACTGTATGGTGGTGACACCACACCACTTGGCCACCCAGAGTGCACTGGCCATACTGAGAGAAGGAGGAACTGCTATTGAAGCAATGGTGTCTGCTGCTGCAACAGTAGCTGTGGTCTATCCTCACATGAACAGCATAGGAGGCGATTCATTTTGGCTCATCGTACCACCTACCGGGGATCCTGTAGTAATAGAAGGACGCGGACCAGCCGGTTCATTAGCTACACCCGATTTCTTTAAAGATTACAAAAATATTCCATTTAGAGGACCAAAAGCTGCCAACACAGTAGCAGGTACTGTGGGTGCTTGGGAAGAAGCACTTCAGTACGTATCTGAATGTGGATATCAACGGATGTCGTTATCCAAGTTACTTGCTGATGCTATTAAGTATGCACAAGACGGGTTCCCTGTAACAAAATCCCATTACGAGAGCTTGAAAAACATTCAAGCCGAAGGAAATGTCCCTACTGACTTCGGAAGAGTTTTTATTCCTAATGGAAAAATTCCAAAAGTGGGAGAAACATTTTGCCAGAAGCAACTCGCTAGGACCCTGCAGCATTTAGTTGAAAACGGTCTCAACAGTTTCTATAAAGGCGAATTGGCGAAATTGATTGCCGAGGACATGGAGTCGTTAGGCATGCCTATCACGAAATCAGATCTTACAAACTACGCTCCAGTTAGGAAAGTTCCTTTACGATTATTACACAGCCACGGCGAGATATTCAACATTCCTCTGCCCCAAGGTTTAGTTTCGCTAACTATTCTCGGAATCTTAGACAAGTTGGGTATTGATGGTCAACATGAAGGCCAATTTGTTCATGCTGCAGTAGAAGCTACGTTACAAAGTTTTAAAATGCGAGACAACTATATAAAAGAGCATATGACGACTGATCCCAACTTATTATTATCAAGTCAAAACTTATTTAAAATGGCAAAAGATGTAAATTTGGATAAATTTTCTGGCGCTCATCCAAGTAAAGGACCTGGGGATACTATTTGGATGGGAATAATGGACAATAAAGGTTTTTCAGTTTCTTTTATTCAGAGCATTTATTTTCAATTCGGAAGTAATATGGTGCTTCCTAGAACAGGTATTTTGTGGCACAATAGAGGTGTAGCGTTTAATTTGGAGAAGGATCACGCGTTGTGTATAGAACCTGGGAAGAAGCCTTACCATACGTTGAATCCAGCAGCAGCTCGTTTGCGCGATGGACGAGTTTTGGTTTATGGAACAAGAGGTGGAGACGGGCAGCCTCAAACACAGTGTGCAATTTTCCATAGATACGTGGTGCAGGGCAAAGATGCTCAGCAGGCAGTGACTGAACCAAGGTGGCTTTATGGAAGGATATCTGGTCCTCCAGAGACCACCTTGAAATTAGAAGGAAGGTTTAATGCTGAGACTATAAATTATTTGAAAGAGAAGGTCATGATATCGTTATGTTGCCAGATTATAGCGAACACACTGGTCAAGCTGGATTGTTAGTAAGACATCCTGATGGAAATATGGAAGGCGCCTTCGATGTTAGAAGTAATGGAAGTGCAGCTGGCTTTTAAATGGAATATTTTTATATGCATGTTTATTTTTAAATAGATATTAAGAGGTCAGGTCTGAACAGGTCTCGATAATTATTAAGCATTTAGTAAACTTCCTGATAGTACTTAAGCTAGTCGTATAAAATCTTATAAACTATAAAAGTTCGGGGTTAATACCTGGTTCTGGTTGGCATTTATTAGACTTTTTCTAATTTCTAACTAACTCTGATGATACAGGTATATTGATAAAGGTTTACTCCTCGATTAAAAGTAGCATGTTTGATTCTTTATATAGGTAAGTATAGTTAATAAAAGACGTAAGATTTTTAAGGGATTAATTCAAATTGTACATTATAATATTAGTAAAGATTTTCTGGCGTTTCACGCAAAACATGTTGCGTTCAATTAAAATAATCAGAAAAAGGGTAAATAAGTGTTGAACAAGTTACTTTAATGAAGGTTTTTTTTTACGAAAAATCCTTTATAGCGTTTATCAGAGTTATGGTCCGACACCCAGAATTAATTGCTTCAATTAATTTTTATTTGTGCACTCATTTTCTTGTCAACATTTAATCAACCGGAACTCTAAAGAAACAACCGAACGCTTCCTTGAAAATAATTAAGTTTTATTATTAAAAACTTTTTTTAATTCATCGTTCAAAGACACGAGCGTTTCTCGAAAGTTCTTTAGACATTTTTGGACCTGTCAGAACCAAAAGTTAAGTCGAACTCGTAAGACTTATTTCAAGGCGCCTCGAAGTCTTTTGTCTTTTAAAAAATGGACCCAAAGTGGAGCTTAAAATTAACAGTTCAGGAACAGTTTTAAATTAGACAATCTCTTTGAAATATATGGTTCGGTTCCTGAACGGTGGTCGGCGATAATTCACATTTATTGGAAAGATAAGGGAACGAACAAAGAATGGATGTAAATCAAAAATCGTCGCTTTAAAATAATACTGGAGTTTGGTTTGACGTGACGTTGGTACGCACTGTGAATTTTTGATAAACGAACCAATAAATAAAAATTAATGGGAATGCTTTGGAAGGAATCTCATGAAAGTCGAATTTATATTGTTTTTTTTGGAGTATTTACTTTGAGGTCATATGTGATTTACGCTTTACTTTCGCATTCATATTCGCATATCTAAATAAATTGTAAATAACAAAATATTTATTTAAAAATACTTTGTAATTTCTGTTGTTTCATTATTGGTATTTTCATAAGGAAAGCCCAAATATCTACTTATTATAAATACCTAAATGACACATTAAACCACAGAGATTTACCAGCACTTATTTAATTAGGTGCATGTAAATAAATTTAAGTTATTTATATTTCTAAGAAAATGACCTGGGGAATTATGACACTAAAATGATTAAATAATAACATTAAAATGAGGAATAATACATTAATACATTAAATGTATGAATGAATTCAGATGGTAGATGTCTATAACCACCAAATACGCACCAAAAAATACCCATACCTAAATGAAAATGAATGGTTGTTTGTCGTTTCCAAGTCATTAATTATATTTGAACAACCACTTAATTGCTTCCGATTTTTAAAAATCACATGTCTAAAAAAGATTCCTTGCGATATTCGGGTGAACTTACAACTTAGTTACATGTAACAGGTACCTCGTACACCTTCGTAAGAGTACCTACATAAAATAGGTAGTAGTCTCAAAACACACGAGAATTGTGGGTGTCAGTTATCGTATATCATCAATTTGTTTTTCTGCACATCTAGTGAATATGTTGCTATTTAGTGTAGGCAGGCGTGCTAGCCGCATCGTCGCTTACCACCAGGCAAGGAAGTGGCAATGAAGAAATCTGAGACCGACAACGCACCTGTGTCTCCTCTAGTCCGGTGTCCATGGGAAGCACTGATAGCTTGCCATCAGGTGATCTATATACTTGTTTGCTCCATAAAACACCTACCTATTACATCATCTGATTTTATACACTTCTCCAGAATTCAACAAACTCACACAATCATCATCAACAGCCTATAAATGCCCACTGCTGAGCAAAGCCTCTTCTCACACGGAGAAGGTTTCAGCATTAATCACCACGCTTGCTCAATGCGTGTTGGTGATTTCAAACTTATAATTAGAAATCATAAGTCTAGGTTTCCTTACGATGTTTTCCTTTACCATTTGTCAGTGGTGTCTAAATAATCTTAGAAAGTACATTTGACTCGGAAAAAGTTACATCATTGGTACTTGCCGTTGGTAGGTTTCGAACCTTCTTTCTCCTGTATGAGAAGTGCGTCATAAACCTCCGTGCCACCACGACGTACCACTCACACAATACGTATTAACAACTTTCGTTAACGCTAATACAAAGCCACTTGTCTAGCCCTTATTGATTCAAACTTCATTTTCGTCCATTCATTCGAACAAGAGCCGTCTACAAACTTCAAATTCAATGTAGTACGTACAATTTTCGCTGGGTATATTGGCTTCAGCCCTCAAATTAGCCATGGTACAAGTAGCAAGCACAATAGCACACAAGAACAATAAATCTGTGTGCGATTTGTATCAGTTACATAGTCTATTGTGTTCGCCCTATAGTTTCAGTTCATTCAAGTGATCTTAGGGATCTATCGATCTGTTGTGAAGTCAACAGGATTGTGATTGGATGGATACTCGTGTTGTGTCATGTATTTTTGAATGGATTACATTATTTCATCGTTGTTGTGTTGAGTGTGGGTCGTTGAACTAAAGAGTCAGTCGAGTAGGCACTAGTAAGATTTTATTGCATGGTTTTAATTAAATCGTCTGTGTATAGTCTAACTAATACATCTAATGTGTTTGAGTTTACAGATTCCTTTAGTTTTGTATGTTTCTATCTAGTTTTTTACAATAACAGTTCTATTAATTAGGTCGGTTAAAATGTATGAAAAAAACATTAATCCTTGATTACTGCACTTAGGAACACATTTAGCAATCTGCTCTTATTAAACATACCAGATTACCTTCAAAAGTAATCCAACATAACACCTCAACGCATAGTTAATTCTCATCTAAAACATAAATAGCTTCCGTCAAATATTTCACTCTAGAAACCCTTCCTACATAATAATCACATAACAATAATTTTCCCCATATTAAATTTGAAACCAGAACTATTATTACATGCCAGTACTTTTAAGGTCCAATAAATACAGTGTGTGGCCCAAAACTGTCAAACATTCTCATTGGGGGCTAAACTGGGACCGGTGGGGAAGTTCTGCGATACAGCTTAATACAACCAACTCTAATAAACTTTGCCCTTACTAAGGAGAGGTCGAAACACTCACGATCTTTTTTCTTTAGCAAGATTTTTCTTTGTAGTTTTGTTTGCTTCTAGTTTCGGAAGAGTTGGCACGTGATTTTGATGTCAATTGTTTGTCTTTTAGGTGCATTTTTGTAAGATCGAGTCTTTATTCTGATTAACCTCTTGTATTGTCAATGCCGGAGCGTAGACCTACGCGAGACACAATGCGTTTTTTATTGTGTCTTAAGTACCAAAATACAAGAGGTTAAAGCATAATATTACGCTTGTGTCCAGTAGTGTATGAAATATTACATAAGTTTTTTTCATTTTGAGGTTTTACTCACGTGGGGAAATAATTCGAGATCTTATCCAGGTACAACAAGCGAGGCGCGGTATCATCGCGAAGCCAAAGTGGCTGACAATTTAAGTAGGTACAATACTATTAAAACGTAATTATTATTATGTTGTAGCAGCGCGACGGTCGCCGCGACGCCGGTCGCGGAATGCTGCTCATGAATATGAAAGCCTCTAGCATGGCTTGAAACTAGTTGAGTTCCTCGTCAAATAATTACGTGAGTTAACCGAAAGGTAATTAAGTAATAATAATTAATTTAGTATTTCTCACGAAGTTTTTTTTATATTTAATGGGAAGACGTTAGTTACCTAGTTATACCAATAACATACATGCATAAATATCTTTAAAAATGTCCAAACGACATACATATGTGCTAAAGGAAGTTCTGACACAACACAAGTCTTATCGCTTATACATACCTACGTTGATCTATAATATATTAAATGCATATTAAACTTCAAAACTAGAATTCAGACCGAGAACCTAATTCACTTTACACCCTCCAACGCCATCCCATAAATAACATTAAACCAACGCAATGTGCAACAATAAATGCTTTATGAATGAATCTGTTTCGTAATTTCATAGTAGGCCCATCCCTATCAGTTAAATTAAGACAAATACGGTCACTTCATTATGCTACAAGTTTAATTTCGCAATGTTTAGGCCATTCGTTCAAATTAGTGGAGCAACGTGACAAATAAGGAATCATTGCCTTTTTATACATAGGAATTGTGTTTGAATTGCGTCTTTTTTGGGCTTCTCTGTAGATGCTTTGTTTTGTTATTGGACGATTATTTTAAAGGACATCGTTTATCTCGTTGTAATTTTTGTGATTCTATAAAAAGTATATACCTGAGAAATATACCTACGTAACTAATAAATAATGTAAATATAGTATGTTTTCTTTATGGCATAAGCCGGTAAACGAGTAGACGGATCACCTGATGGTAAACAATAAGCGTCGCCCATGGACACCTGGAACACCAGAGGCGTTACAAGTGCGTTACCGGCCTTTTGGGGATTAGGAGTTTGAGGATCGTTGGGGATTCAGGAATTGGGTAGATTGACCGAGATAAGGGGAAGGAAGGGTAATTGGACCTCCGGTAACCTCACTCACACGACGAAACACAACGCAAGTGTTGCTTTAGTCGGTTTTCTGTGAGGCCGTGGTATCACTCCGGTCGAGCTGGCCAATTGTGCTGAAGCATGGCTCTTCCACACTTTATATATGTAAGGATTGATGTTGATGACAATGAATTAATGTACGATCCGTCATACAAGAACAACACAGTGTAATTGAAAACACTAACTTTTCAACAACAACAACATAAACAATTAACAAAAGATATCACTAGTACCTAATCAGTACTGAAACCAACACAAAGAAAAGTTCACAAAATATGAACCGCTACGTTCCGCCTTAATAAGAAAGCCACTCTAAAATCAGAAAAGATTTTTTACACCCAAAATGACGTCGATTTCGCAGAGAATCGACTAACGAGGTCAATTGCAGCAATGGAACGCTCGCATGATGTAGAAGGCAGAAAAAAATAACGCCTTTGCCAATTTTGTTCTTATGAAACGTTTCTGTGCGAAGCTATCTTTTAACTCATTTTCCTGTAAGCCTTGTTAGCTTTTAGGTATACGAACAAATACTTGTTTTAATGTTTTTAAGATATTTAGATACAGTATTTGTAGTCTTTTAGAAAGTTTT